GTTTCGTTTCGCCATAGATTATTGGTGGGGTTGTTATTCCCTTGTGTGTAAGTTAATGAGTATCTAATTAAGTAAATATCAAGCTTCAAAATATAATACAAATAAAGAATAATTAAAAATGAAAATAAATAATAAATGAATATCTTTACAAATAATAAAATGAAAAGTATCTAATAAGTTCATCAGTTATTAAAAATGACGTCATAACAGAATGAGCAGGCGGAAGCACAAAAAAAAGGGTCTTTTTTCTCGGTGAAGGGTTTGATGAAAATGCAAGTATAAAAATTGAGAAAATGATGCGATCATAAAGATGATACTTAAAGTTATCAGTGTATACAGTGAGAAAAATTAGATAGACATGACAACAATACCGTAAAGCCTTTAAGCCTTTAAAGTATCACCCTCTGTATAATATTTCCTCCAAATAATTTATGTATAATACCTGGGCATTATTAGTACTCCAAGATAGGTTTAGACGTGTTTTTTACTTCGCCAATAAAGATTTGGTATTTGATTGGTCGATAGCATTGTACTCTCCTTTGACCACAATATTCTATGTAATAAAGAACGCTTTACGGTAAAATAAGGGTACTTTCAAGATTAATTACAGCATATGAATCGCATGTGGCACACATGCATCCAGTTTTAGACATCCCCACGTTACAAATTATGATGCACATGATATTATGCACAAAGAACATGCGCATGCATGTACTTATTGGCCGAATAATGAAATGCTAGATAATCAAAGAAGACCCTAAATGCTAGATAATCAAAAGAAGACGATCGTGCTTTACTAATTTAGTAAGTATGCATCATTGTTCCCATTTATGCATGAGTTTTTTCAATGACGCGTAGAACTCCGAATATAATTATAACACAAATAGTGTAACACCTATGACCATATCCAAAAATTCTTTACGGTCTAACATGAATTTACAATTTCCTTATCAAGTCCAATTTCCTAAAATTAAGGTGGAGGCTGTGCATGCGTTCACACATACATATAAAAAATCCCAAACTCTAAATACTTTTCCCACATTATCTTCATTGTTTCCTTTTTATTGCCTTAAAGTTGTTTTTTATTGTGGCGGTGAGCAAAACTGTCAAAATTTAAAAAGTGACTTTTTCTCATTACACTCACTCGAATTTTACCTCACTCGCACACGCATATATTATGAAGAATATGTCAAACTTTCCCGCATGAACAGCAAATATTGCATTTGCATAATAAAAAAAAAATGAAACGAAAGCGACAACTTACATAACATATCTCTTATTTGAGATGTTTTAATTGTTACTTGATGGCGCTCGGATGTCACGAAGAAATGATGGTGATGTTGATGACCTGCGTATGCTAGATTTTTCCTTATATATGTATTTGTTGTGAGAAATTAGTTGGTGAGACGAGAGTCGCAAACTGATGGGCGGAATATTATTATCATCTATATGTATGTTTGTGCAAGAAAGGTGCCATCCAACATCCCGACACTACCTTCCCGAAATTCCAACCTCCCGACAACCCAACATCCCGACAATCCAACTTCCCGAAGACCCGTTATTCTATCGTTAATGTTAATAAATGCTAGCGGTCGATCCCCATAAAAACAGAAATTGGACTAATTTGTCGGAAAGTTAGATTGTCGGGAAGTTAGTTATGTCAGGATATTGGATTGTCGGGATATGTTGGATTGTCGGGAGGTTGGATTATCGGGGATCTTGGATTGTCGGGAAGATGGGTGTCGGGTAGATCCGTGCAAGAAACATTTTGGGAGAAAGGGAGAAAAACTTCGATAAAAGAGAAAGTGTCATAGTTAGAGATGGGCAAATGCGATAGTCAAATATTATGCGTACTATGCGCATTATACGCATAGTATTTGACTATGCGCATTTGCCCCTCTCTAGTCATAGTAGGCTTTAAGGTAAACAGTCTTATCTCACTCAATATCAATTCCTTAATTCTTTGAGGTAATTAAATTCTTCTATAATATTACACCTACTGTAATACTGTTTATAATATCCAGGGTCTTATACGAAACTAATACTTTTTTAATTGAATAGTACTTGTAGGTACTACGTGTAAAACTGAATATTTTATAGTAAATTCTACGCGCATTTAAAATCAAAGTCGAATTAGATACTGTAAATAATAAAGATATATTGATAGGTTATGAGTACGAAGAAGAGGGAGATTCTAATACTTGGAACAATATCATTATATTATAATTTTATCGTTAACGTTTAAAGATATATTAAATAAATATCGACTTTTGAAAGAGCGGATATTATTCAAAATAGTGAATAATAAATGCACGGAGAGTAGGGATACTGCTAAATGATAGATTTTTTGATAAAGAGGGTTTGTACATGTGTCACTTCTGCAAAATTAAGAAACTCATAGGGATGTACAGTATAACGTAGGCAAGTACAGATACTCCATTTTTTTTATAAGTCGACGCCCAAGATAAAAGAAGAGAAGTAACATGTTAAAGTTTACAAATTAACAATCGTTTCTTTACACCTTAAACATTTAATATCTACATTATTGTTGATACGCTGTTTTTCAAATGGATTAATAAAGATGATATGTAAGTCCGTCCCGATTTATGTTTCCCTATAATACCCCACAGAACTGCTTGTCTATTGGGAAAAATAGATTTTCCCAGCCATTACATGCATTTACTCTTTTAAGAATCAATGAAAAACCCTAATCTGTTATGAAAAAACCGCCAATGTTTGTGTTGTGATGATCCTAGCCGAATTTATTGTGCCGGCGCAAAATCGGCTAGCTAGAGTCAGCCGACCTAACTTTTCAATACGGTTAGTATTCACGTGATTCGAACACATGCTACACTTTCTTGAAATTCCAGATTAAAAAAAAAATCTGCGTGAAATGATATCTTTATAATTTTTACAATCTTTTCAAATTAAATTTTAAAACGTAATTCAAATATTACAAGAAATGATGCTTTAGATCTTATTCAGTATTTTAACACGTCATGCACTGGGAATGGTGCATTGTGATGGTCTCATTAATTATCTGATAAGGTTACATGTTAATTCAGTAAATTATATATGTGAAAAATTTAATTAATGTCTCTATAACACCTCGTTGCAATCGATGATGAAAAACAATGTAACGAAAATTGTAGATATTCGAAAAGAATGGCGTGATGCTTCTTCATTTACTACCTAATCTCTTATTTGGGGTTTTTTTTACAAATAATTTTTACATGAAAATCCTTAAACACACAAAGTTTTTTTTTAATTCAATAAAAAGTGACAAATATGCTAATAACATGCGTCAAACGCTAAGATCGACAAACATAAAGCAGTAAAATGATTTCATCAAGAAAATTCCGATTTTCATGAATCATCAAAGGGAAAGGTTGAATGTCATATCAATATATCGAGATGTGACAAACAATGAGAGTAAAAACGTGAAAATTGTAACTAAACATACCGTAAATCGCGGTCTATAGTAACCCCCCTCCCCTTGTAAAAAATATAAAGAATTTAAACTAGGCTAACAAATTATTAACTAAAGTTTTTAAGAAATTTTAGATTGTGAATTTAAATTTATTATTTGTGAAACATATACATGATTTTTGGGAGGATTAGCTTGTAATTACATGTATTTGGAATTTTTATCAACTCTTGTATGAGAGTTTAACATCGAAATCGATTAAACTATGCATTAGTTATAACGAAAATACGTGGTGATATCTTATGCATGTATTTTGTTCTTAGAAAATCGAAGTTTAAATTTCTTGAATTTATTGCAAAAGGGGGCGGGGGTTACTATATACCGCGATTTTTTCACCTGTTATAAGATACCACACAATGCTAGATTATTAATTGATAAAAGAAAATTCAAATAAGTCGTGATTGAGGAGTTTGCAAAAATCTTTGATTACTTATAGATAAAATTCACTTATATAGGGGATGATGACTGTATGTGTATTTCAACCATTTAAATTTAAAATAAACGCTAAAACGAAATAAATTAACTTTGATTCTATCATTGTGCAATATAAGGAATGTCTGATAGAAGCCACTCTTCTGAATACTTTGAATACAGCCGGACCTCATAAGAGCACGTCGTCAAACGACAGAGAAAAAAATCAGATATAACGTACATTTAGAGAAAAATTGCATTTACGGAGGGTAATACTTCATGTACTTGTGACTAGATCAGATGGTGGGTAAACATAACGCGTGCATGCATTTAGATAGGTCTGAATTTTTCCATATGTTGTTTCTGACTATCTTTTTATCTATACGAACATGCGCTTCCCCTACTTGTCATAAAACAGTAACTTGTCAAAGAAAATACTAAAATTACTTCAAAACATGAGTCTCTTACATAAAATCTTTCTCTGATGAAACTTTGAGAATTTGCTAAGTTTTGATGCTTTAGTTCAAATCCAGTAATGATTAGGCTCCCAAATGATTGATTTCTTCCCTTGCGATTTTTATTTACACCTTGCATTAATTGAGTTCATAACTAATATAATAAGTGTACGTCTATCATGCTTTTTGAGTTGCTTAAATTTCATGTTTATTTTTAATCATTATAATTTTAACTTATGCAATTTAAATTCTTAGAAATTTTTAGATACATTGCTTATCTATGTCTATGGTTAATTCATATTAATAAACATTTGCAAAGAAATTAGATAACATATACGAGTGACAGAAGCAGAAGAGAAGCAATCTAAGGGAAACAGAACGCGAACAGAAGTAGTGCATAAATGACGAAAACGAATCTAAGGGAGACAGAACGCATTTAGGAGAAATGGAACGAACTCACTTTACAAATGAGTGACGGAAACAGAACGGCGTTTATAAAATAATTGAATGAAAAAAATACGAACATAAATGAGGAAATTGTGTAATCTTAAATTGAAGAAGAATAAAAAACCTTAAATTATCCGAAAACATATTTTATCCTTAGCTCGAAACGCGGTGTTTCAATAAACGTATCATACTCGTTTCTATTATTGGGATATCGGAATTAAAGAGATATCGGGGCCAAAGCTGCACTCTAAATCGAGCCATGTGTTTTCTTCGTTTGGTATAGGAAGATCGGATCCTCCGATGAAATCGGACCAAATATCAATGAGTCCATTATTTTGTTGCTCCGTATGATCCAATTCATCAAATCGAGTATTGACCTCATCGACCAAATAAAAATTGCGTAGCGAGTTATCATGATTATCGATGGAGAGGTGATCAGCCTGTGGCATCTCATTATCAGTGGATTCAACTGACTCAGGTTCTATTATTGGGATATCGAAATCAAAGATGCGATCTAAGTTAAGCAAACCATTTTCTTCAACAGGAAAGTCGGATCCTCTAATGAAGTTAGACCAAAGGTCAGCGGATTCATTATCTTGTTGTACCGTTTGATGCAATTCATTAAGTCGACTAACATCTTCATCGAATGAATAAAGATAGCGTAGCAAATGGTTTGTATTTGTGTTCATTTTTGATGTTTTAATATATGATATTTAAGACGCCGACTTTATTAATGACCGATTGTCAGATAAAATTAGTAATTGTAACGTATTTATATTTTGAGAGATATCTATCGTTTCTATTAATAAATTGCCGATTAGTTTTTTGCTTTTTAAAAATTTTTTTTGTTTTTTGCTTTTTAAAAATTTTTTTTGTTTTTGCTTTTTCGCTGCGAATTCAAAGTGCTTTTATATCTAATTTTTCTTTCTTTATATTAATAAATATATATCCTTGCATTATAGATTAAATCGCTATTTCTTTTATATAAATAGCATGTTCTTATAATTATTTTAAATCAAGAAACAAGCTTTTTTGTATATTGGGTAAAGAAAGAGATCACAAAAAAGCCACAAGGAAAGATATGAAATTACCAAAATCGGATCAAGATTTATTATTATTATTATTATTATTATTATTATTATTATTATTATTATTATTATTATTATTATTATTATTATTATTATTCCCGATTTGATAAACAACATCTATACTCGAGTCACCGGGCACCTATTTGTTTGAAGACTCGCGTAATAAAAAATTATAAAATTATATTGTTTTAAAGCTTACATGATACCATCGTCTCCCGCTATAGTCACAGCCGCAATTGTCTATAATCGCATTAATTTTCTGCCTGATTGTATAAATTAAAATAAATTTTCGTTCGCGTTTGTCACAATCCTTCTCAATGGGCGCATAGATCATAGCGGGAGACGGCCCTATAATTTCATGTCTAACTATTTGGGGAAAGTCGTTATGTTCCTCCCTACTTGAGAGGGCAACAAATGATTCTTTCTATATTTGGACTCGAATCGATTGACAAAACTTCATTGTCAGTAAAAAAACCAAGTAAAATCTTGATTTTGCGATAATTAGTATTGTTCTTCCGCGTTTTATATGATCAATATGTAAAAAAAAAATTTTAAAAACTTGAAAATTTGATTTGTCGATTTTTTAGGGGTTCCGATAAAAATTAAAAAAATCCTCTTAAATGGCCACTATAGATATATAATTTTTTATATACCGATCTATACTCTTAAAACTCAAGGTTTATTAAATTGGCATTTTTAATTATCATTAATTATAAGTAGATTAATTTTTCTTCTTATGTCGTAGACGAGGAAACCAATCCACCGAGTGATTAAAACTTATTTATTAAGTCAAAGAGCATTGATCAATTCTGTCAAGCAGAACAGTATGGCTCATTGACTTGGTGATACAAAAACACAAATGGGTAACAAACATTCTAATTTTAGGTAATCATCACTATTGTAATTATCCATTTCCATTTGTGTGTGGAACCCGGTGATTAATTTGTTTGTTTAAACTCATGATATATGCAGGGTGCACACACGTACTTTTTTTAAATTTTTTCTCGTCGTTTCACAGTCTTTCTTTAAACAGTCACATCCTCTGCGATCGCATCCTTTTCCCAGTCCCAGATATTATAAAGTTTGACTCTATAGATTCACAACCTCTTTAAAATCACGCTTTTTGCTATTCCCAAGGGCGTGATCATATAGGGGAAGACTATACAACTAACTCTTGTGTCATTAAATTGGTCATATTTTTTTTGATGATTTCAATATATATAATATATATGTAGAAATGCGAACATTTAAAATAAATGCTTGCTTGCTATCAATTTATCGAAATTAAAACGAGTATTTGGCGTCTTTGTTGTTTACAGTTGTGTAAAAAAAAACAAAAAATACGAATGCGTCATTGGGGACTGTATCATATTTGTTTTAGAAGGTAATTTTGACCGTCAAGAACGGTTTTTTAAGATGATCGGTAAAAGGTTTAAAACAATAAAATTTCCTTTTTCAAGCAGGCAAATCATTACCCTACTCGAAACTGATGTCTTTGATTACGCACAATTTCTTTGTAAGCACGCAATCATCCAATCAAAAAAACTCGTTTTCCAGTCATATCGATATCAAAGATAATACACCATTTCCAAATTATTTTGTTTTAAAACATCATAGAGTATACATTAAATACTAATTAGCAGTGTTAATTAATGACCATGCACCAAATATAATAATTGGATGCATGTATAATATAGAACATCAGTATCAATAGAGCACCCAAATCCAAACTGAGGGACATATTCAAAAAAAATGCAAGCCACAAATCTTATTGCTTCCTGTGAGGTAATAAGGGCAGACGGAAAGTCTGTCCCAGGTATATACATAAACTTATCATGTTTTAAAAAATCCAACGGGAGGGTTCAGTTCTATAATAATTCATAATGAGGTAATATATGTCTCCACAAATTTTGTCACAACAGTGTTTATCATCGAGGAATCCGGTAGGTACTCTTAAAATTATCATAATTCTAAAATACGAAATTTGTTTGTGCCCTCGTTAAAGCCTACACTTGATATCGGTAAATAAAGTGTCTAATGACTTTCTTTCGCTGAAAAGGTCCAAAGCTCAGATGGATAGCAAATTTGTGTAATAAACAAGAAAAAAAGTTATCATTTAAATGTATCAAAAATTTTGACACAATAAATAAATTTCCTTTGTAAACTTTTTGGAAGAAAAATATATAGAAGTAGAGTTGAACTATGGTTTGGTAATATAAAAAAATAAGGAGAAGATAAAAAAATAAGGAGTAGATAAAAATTCTAACTTTATTCAGCAATGAAGAAAGATTTTTATTTTCTTATACTCAATTATCAGTCATCATCACGTCTTGGTATTTACATTCTATTAAAAAAAATAATGTGTGTATGCTGGACATTTATTCAAAATAGAATGACATTTGGTTAGGTCGGGCTGATCAAAAAATTTACATCTTTCATAGCGATAGGGAATCATCACATTGTACATAGGGGGGTTACGTTGTGTATGCAGGATGCATACATGATTCTATGAAAATATTCAGTTAGTCATAACGCTTGTTATTAGAATCTATTTGATTATCCAATATCAAAAAGGTGTGTACAGTATAACGTTTAAAAAAAAGTATTAAAATTTCTAATACAATTACACCGTTTCTATTGCACTCGGCTCATATTTAATTTTTAAATTGACGCTGTCCAAGATAAAAAAGTAACATGTTAAGGTTTACAAATTAATAATCGTTTTTTTTTACATCTTAAATCATTTTAATGTCTAGATTATTGTTAAATACGCTGTTTTTTTACAGTTGGCGTCATAAAGATTCGGAATTTTATATAGTGCATAGAGTAATGAAAAATTGTCAAAATTACTGTATCTGATAATTTAGACATATCATACATGTAATCTGTAAATAAGTTAGCTCAAAATATTTTACAAAATTATTATTAATTACATTTATTGTTACACTTTTCATCAATAAAATTTATTGTAAAAAAAATAGGTCAGATTCAACAAAGATTGAGCTTATATTATTAAAATACTATTAAAAGTAATCCTGTTATTTTATTATCGGTGAAGTTGTTCATTATATTACAAAGAATATATTTATAAATTTTGGCATAATTCTGTCATTTTTTCATTGAATAATCAATAAAGATATAAAGTTAGTTATATTTATAATTGTATTTAGTTTTTTATAATTTAATGATATTTTTAATAAGGTATTATACTAATACGTCTCAAGCAATTTTATTCTTCGTATCAAAAAAACATATATTTGCAAATTTTCATGTAATTATATTCATTCTTTATCAAATAATTGATATGCAAATTTAAAACTTCCGAATCTTTATGGGGATATCATCACCCTTTTCGTGATATACGCCGGAGGAAATTTCACCGTGATTGTACTAGAAGGAAATTTACGACCCAAGGATTTAAAAGATGTATCGTTTTCCACAATCACAAGCATCATCAAAAAAGAGGAAATATCAATAGATATATTTGAGTCGTATATTGTTATTCATAATTTTCTATAAATTAAATTATCGAAGAAAGTTTTGGTAAAATATTCCATTTTTAATACTCTTAAATAATATTTTATCCCAATAAAAACTAACAATTTTTTCATTAAAATATTTTCCCCTTTAAGTTTAGCCCAACTAATTTGTTGAATCACAATTTGGATAATCTCGAGTCGCAACGAAAGTTCCTTGATTACGAAAATTTTGGAACGACGTAAGGCGAGCTTAATTCTTGTATCCTTAATTAGTAATTTGTTACGAAAAACATTATTCGTATCATAAAAATTTAATAATGAATGTGATTATAAGAATTTTGCTAAAAAATAAAGTAAGTTTATTACATACAATACAAAATGTGAATTTTGTAAGAATTTTGTAATTATTTCTTTAGATCAAGGGAATAATGTACGATACTAATGTTTATGAATGTTTTCACTTCATAAAGTATTCATATGTACATGTATGCAAGATTCGTATAACGATAATCATCAATAACACATATTCCCCGTATTCCTGACACCAAGTATGAAATATAGAGGCACCGGTTTTAAGAATTAGCCGTCGCTTTCATTATCTTGCTCATCGTCCAGGTCGGTGACTAATTCGCTGTCTTGTTTCTCATCATAGTATAGTCATCATCTATATTTTCTCTTGCTCTTGTTCGCCTCCTTCGGTGTCTAGATCGTCAAGGTGTTGGTAATAATTTCATCGTCACTGACTTAAACAGAAAACTTCACCACATTCCACACCATCTCGTAATGGAAACCATCTTTCTATTTGATGAATTATATAAATTATAATAGGTTATATATTATCAGTGTTTTTTTATTTTTGTAATTAATAAGTTGGATTCGAATAGCTCTCTTGTTGATTCTTGATCAATATTCATAACGTGCAGTACTTCAATCATGCATATGTACAAATTGTTCGGTATATGCATTCCGGTATGGAATTACGCTAATCAATCAATAGAAGCGATTGAGAATACGATTTCACATTTAAAGATTAATTCTAAAAATACAATTACTCCTTGCTTGTTTAATTTAACTCTTGATCGATATACTAAGAATCCAGATCACAGAAAAGATACGATCAAT